CGGGACGAGCGGGGCTGGGGGCCAGCGGCGGCAGCTCCGATCCGTCATGCCGGTCCCCTTCCGCAGGGCGAAGCTCAGTCCCGCGGCAGGTGGTGTCGAGGTGCCGGAATAACGGCCGCGGGGCCCGCCCAGGGCTCCCCTCAGGGCTCCCCTCAGCGCTCCCCTCAGGGCTCCCCGGCGCGCAGGCGGCGTGAGCGGGGCGGGGAGGTGCCGCCGCTGTCCCCCGCTGGCCGGGCCGGTGGGCGCCGGTGAGGTTTGTCCTGGCTGGAAGTTTGCCCTTGGCCCTGCCTCGCTCTTTTCTGAGGGATCTTGCGAGGCGCGGTGAGCGGGTAATTTTAAAGTGCTGTTAGGCCTCGTTGATGCCCAACTGGAAAGCCGTTTGCGCGTCCGAGCCGCCCTGAATTAGGAATAAGCTAGTTCGGAAACTCATGAGGGACCCAGTGGGAAGGCAGCTGGTGAATTTTAAGAAGGCAATACGTTTCAGGTGCAACAGCCTGTTCTTGAACCAGATCTGTTTAGTAATGCAAGGAAGATGACAGGATGTCATCACTAATGAAAACTAACACAACTGACGTGAGTCCCCTTTGCCGAAGATGGTATGCAAAAACCAGTGTTTCAAAGCTGATTAAAACCCAACAACTTTGAATTTTGTACTCAAACACATACGCAAGATACGTGTAAGAGCCTGGTGGATGCACCTGCTAGTGTGCGCAGCTTTAAATACCTGCTGCAAGCAGCCCAGATTCGCCCCAGCTCCTCCGGCCTGTGTAGCGGCTTTGTTTACACCTTGCTTGTGGAACACAAACTCAAGATCAGCATTTGCTGCTTAAGTAGGAATGCCACGGTTCATTTTCAAATACAGGCGTTACAGGTCTTTTGTTTAATCCAGGCAAAATTGTAATTTTCAATTCCCATGTTGAATTTACTCAGTCGGCAGAAGTTCTGCTTTGTGACTTCACACACGTGTCACTTAGGTAAAATGTTCACTTAGTTGTAGTTGACTGTCACTATGAGTGTAATGTGTTTTTAACCTCCCTTTATTTCCGAGGTGACACCAAGTTAGCTGATTCATTAAAGCGGTGTCAAATCTTACAGCAACCTCTGACAAGACATTTCACGGTGAATTTGTTTAATTTGTTTTGAAAAGCCTATGGTGATAGGAACTGCATGATCTGTTGACGTAATTCCACTACATGATGACTTTTATAGTTCACTGAGTTTTTTTCCTAATATATTCCATGCTGCAAATTATGCCAGTGATTACTTGTTCTATCCTTGGTGGGTATAAAGATATTCCATTTTTGTCTTTTACATGGAGAAGAACTTGAAGATTATAACTTCACCCTTTCCTTCTTACACATTATTCTCTGCTAAACAAATTTTGTTCTTTATTATTTTCCTACTGGTCTTGTGTTTTTAAACTTTAGATTTTTTTTCCACTGTCTGCAGTTTTCTCTAAATGGGGTCTTTAATCTGTACATTTTTTGCTGTGTGTTTCACTGCTGCTGAACAGAGCGAAATACTTGTTTCTCATGTCTTAGATCTTCATAGTGCCAAGTTTGCCATCCTTTTTTTCCCAGCTGTACCTCATTACACTCCCACTCTCTAAATGCAACCCACTGTAACTTTTTTTCCCGTGTTTTTGTTGTCTGCCTAGTTTTTCCCCTTGTATTTCAATTTATTTTCTTGATCATCATTGTAGTACTTCGTGTCTGTCTATAGAATTTTCAGATCATCATTTTGAGTTCTGCTTCTGTTTAGTAAACTGCTTGCAATCTTTCCCACCTTAGTTATCAGCCCAGATTCTGAAAGTGCAGTTTCTCTGTTTCATTGTCAGTGTAATAATGAAAATATGAAATAAAGCTAGGTGAATGGCAGATCATTGTGGAACCTCATTTGACTCCCAGTTTGCAAGAGAAGTATTACTAATTACTTCTTCATATAGTAGTCATAACTGCTCTTCAATTTAGGCCATAAGTCCCTACTCAGCTTGTCAGACTCTCAGGTGACTTAGATTAAAAGCCCAATCAAAGCTAAGTTTGTCACATCTGTGGCTTCTCCATTGCTCACTGTGTCAGAAAAAGATTTGTTCTTGACAAATTCACATTATCTGCTTTTTATTATCATATTCTCTTCTTAGATGCTCAACAACTGAATGCATAATAATTTGTTCCATTATCTTCCCAAAGACTGCGGTTAGGTTGACTGTCTCTGTTGCACTTCTGCAGTGCCCTGGGACCTCTCTCTCTTCTGGTTTTCTCTGGCCTTTCAAGGGTTACAGAGTCCTGCTTGTTTCTTTTATGCTTACAAAGCCACCAGTTTTCCCACTCAGGTACCCTTCCTCCTGCCAGTTTCCTAAAATACAGTAAGAATAATTTGGTAGCTGGAAGATGATGGGAAAATAGATGTTTTTTGGGAACGTGTGCTGCCCAGTTAGGTATGGACACAGCATCCTGGGAAAGAGATAAGTTATGTGGCTGTTGGACACCACAACTGTACACATCTGATCCATCTCAAACATTTTCAAAACATCTTTTCTCAGGAATAATGAATCAAAAAATAAAAGACTCCTTCTGGTGGATTCAAATATTGATCTACAAGCTGGATTTTAGCCTTGGGAACCTAATTATATTCTGAAAGTAATTAATTTTCTGCTGGAAAGCTTGGCAAACCTTTAGTATTGTGTTGGTTCCAGTCAGTTGTATAGATTGACAACAGAAAGAAAATTGTAATAACTTCTAGTGGAATCAGTTTGGAGCGTATTTGTGTTAGACTCTGTACTTCAGTCATATGGAGGCAGCACACTGGAAGTAGTTGTGTGTATTGTAAAACTGGGCACATAACTATAGTGGAAGCTAAGGTAAGGGGAGAAATGTTCCAACATATCCTGCAGTTATTTGTCTTTCTGTGACAGCACTTTGGCTTAAAGGTCTGCTAATCATCAGAAAACAGTTTTATTGTCATTAAATGACAGTATTTCAAATCAGCTCGAATGCATTCTGGCATCTTGATTGCACCAGTGTGACACGTGGCTGCCGTAGACGGTGAGCAGCAAATTCCCAAGGGGAAACTTGCTTATCTCCATCTGAGATGTGCTGTCTCTCTTGGCAGTTGGAATGCATTATTCTTTAATGGTGCCTTTCATGTAATTACATGCAGAGACATATTAGACCACCATCTTAACAACATTAGTTTCTTTTTACTGAGTTTGGTGCACTCTGACACTTGAAAGTGTTCCAGATACAGGAGTACAGCATTTGCCAGAGAACAGTGGCCTCTGTAAGAAAGCAGCATGTCACACAGATACAGAGAGCCTTGTTGCACTTGGAGAGGCTGTACATAGGTGCAGTTAGGTGATTTCCTTTCCCTCCACTCTTTAAAACAATTATTCTTACTCCTGCACATCTGACAACTGCAGCCTACATTACAAAGACTCTTTGAACAGCAGGATAGACAAATACTGTTTCCATCTTGCCTATAAAGAGATTGAGGCACATAAATGCCAGGTGACTTGTCTACTATGATGCCATCTGGCTTTGATTTTGTGGATGTAGAAGCACATGGTTAGTGGAAAAGACTTATTTCATGTTTTGGAAACTGGATCTTAGAAAATAGGAAGCAAATCAGCCATTTCTAGAACTTAACAACAGTGAGTCCTGGGTTCCTCTTGGTCCAGCATATCAAGGTGTGATCAGATTTTCAGCTGAAGACTTTATAAAGGCAATACAGCTCATGGGGCAGCTGTGGAATATACATTGGTTTACAGGAGTTTCATTTGGGAACCAGTAATCTTAACCATACTGGAGTAGCTGGTAAAATGGGATAACTTTGGTGAAGAGCTGTCGTTCAGAGCTGATCATATAAACAGACAAAACTCTTTCCTGCTAATGGACTTCCCTGAACAAGTGCACATTTATAAAATAACTTTTCTTTTCATAATTTTCAACTTATGTACTTTTTCTTGCAAAATAGTTGCCATTTAAAACAACAACAACAAAAAGGTGTTTTTAACTCTTCCAGGAAAAAGATGCAAAATCTCCCCCAAAGACACTTCCCTAATTCTTGAGAAGATTTGCTTCTTTGGTCTTAAAACAAGACTCAGTTTCACTAGAGTGCCAGCTGATGATTATGTTTATTTTTTTTAATTTTTTTTTTCAGCCGTAAAGTGGCCTGACCCTTTGAGTTGTAAGCTTGCATGACAGAATCAACCACAAAGACAAGTTTCCTTACTTAACGGCTAACTGTCATTTGCAGCATTTCATCACAGGGAAAAATAAAACAGTGTATGCAGAGTGAGGAAAAAAATAAGCAGAATGCTATCAGGTAGCCTTTAAATGCTTATTGCATGGTGAATCTTCCTATGAGCATCAAAAATATGACATGGTTTCTTCCTGAACTAGTGTTTCCAAATACTGCTAATTTACTTCTTGAGCAGATAGGCTATGTACATTTCAGAAGATGTAGCTGATAAAGTAACAGAATCTTTGGCCCTCTGTCAGCCAAATGAAAACTGCTAAGAAATATAACTTTCCTTTATTCCAGGAGCTCATTTTGGGTTTGATGCTGCCATCTTTATGACATTATGTGCTATATAAAATACCACCCTACAAATATAAAGTTGACACGTTCAGAATCCATGGGATAAATTGCCTCCTACTCTAGCCAAGTCTTGGCCTTGGCTTGCAGAAATTGCCATCTCTCTAAAAGTAATTTTAGATGCATTGATGGCTGTTCTGATGGAGTGGCTTAAATAGTTGACAGTTATGATAGTCAAAGTTATCTAGCATTACCTAATGATAAATTCAATATTAATCTCCCTTTATCACCCAGAGTTGTCTCTGGATCCTTCAGGTTGTAGGTACGGTTCTTAATGACTTTGACACATCTGTTCTAATTGTATGGTTTTTTTTTTTTTTATATTGTCA